AGCCCGTTATCCTTTGCCCAACCTACAATCTTATTGATTGCAAGCTGCAGTGAGGGTTCATAATCTACATCTCCAGTCACCATGTAAATCTTGATGTCGTCAGCAAAAATATTGCAAGTAACTTCGAGGTTCTCTAGCACGTAAGGAAGGTCAGCCGTAAACATATTGAAAAGCACGGGTGATAGAACTGCACCTTGTGGAACACCGCTGGTTGCAACTCGTACCTCAGACAGTGCTTCCCCTACTTGAACTTGGAACGTTCGATTGTCGAGGTCAGCTTTAATGCAGTCTTGCCGCTACGGATGCTGGGGAGTGTCAAGGGTGATGAGCTTGGCGCAACGCCAGCCTACTTATTTTTTCGGTGAGTGGCAAGGCTGCACCATACTGTTTGTACCAGCCGCTTTGACTCAAATGTTGTCGTTTACCCGCCTCCACAATTGGTGAAGAACTGGCTGGTGGAGCACCGCACCCCCCCCCCCCCCCAGCTTCACAGCGAACAAGACTGTACAAGACTGTATCCTACAAAGAAAAAACAAGACTAACATGCTTACACTTTTTGTTGCGATGGCAAGAGGAGTAAGTCTGATGACATGAAGCGGGACCATTTCCCTATCACATGAATTAATTATTAATCTCGCGTTTCAGATGTTGTAAAAATTCGACATAGGAGTGCGTGGACTCTGTGCGATCGTCGACAAACCGTCTCTGTACCGCTTCACGAATGGCCGTATCCTCCCTACAATTAATTATGAATCATCCAACTAATCAAAAAAATGGAATTAACAGAGCTTGGACTTACTTTACAAGAATAACGGGACCAAGGTAGAATTTGAGAGCTGTCACATGGCGTACAAAAGCATGAACTTTCTCGGAGAATGGATTCTCACGGATGCGGAATGATTGCTTGAATAGGAAAAAAATTATGACAATTATGGCACATTTCAGTGGTAATGGTAGAATTAACAGGTACCGTGTACTTTTCACTATTCTTGTATTAGGTCCGTCCCATTCAAAATGTGGACACACATAGCAGGAAAGCAAAGGGGATAGAGCAGCGGGCTACTACACCATTTGGAAGCTAGTACCTTAGCTATGTATCTGTGAAATTTGGCGAACCTAGCCACAGAAGAAGTTCTCGAGAAATTGAAAAGAAGCCCGAGTGGTGAAAATCAGCGCCGGATTTTCAAATCAGGCGTCATAAGAGGAAAGTGCGCTGCTCAAATTTGACCTGCGCCGGACCAGTAGTTGCGTGTAATGGTGTTCTCGGAATGCGAGGTGGAGGGTTTGGAGCCCGAAGAAGGAAGAAAAGGAAAAAAAATTGTTGTCGTGGATGGTCATCCTGTCCTATTCCTATATTCTATAATGATCTCCTGT